TTTGTGTTGCATGTATTCTGATGCTCAGTAGATTTGTGCACCTTTGTGTATCTGTTGCTGTCCTGGACATTCTGAATTTACAGACATTGATCCATTAATTGATGATTGATTTTTCCATACGTTTCTATCTCAGCACACATTAATTTAGGACAGGCAGAAATCCACTAAAACTGAACTCCTACATTTTAAAGTAAGGAAAAGCTGTCCACAATACTTAGAATGAGGTAAACACCTTCAATCTGGAATATAAAGATACAAGCTTTTCACCAGTAGATATGTGATGTAAATAATAATGATTTCTGATACCAATAAGTTCCAAGGTCCGTTGTTTTGCTTTATGTGGGACACGTTCATGATAGAATATGGTAAATATCCTAATGTAATCACACTGTACTAAAGACAAATGGTCGTATTTATGTGGGAGGTATTCCCAATAGGAATGGTAAATAGAAAGCACTCTGTAATCACATAGCATTGAGGTCAAAGGGTCTGCTTTATAGATTGACCCTTTCAGAATTAATTCATCTAAGAACTTAAAAAGACAAGCTAAGTGAGAATTTGTATACTTCATGGGTTGGGTCTGGTGCTTAAGGCCATCTTGAATTATAGTGTTTAAGATAAATTGATATGTTTTAGAATGGAGTTGCATCTCCTGCGATTACTGGTTAACAAGCTTTGAACATTTAATGACCCTTTAGTTTCTAATTAATATGTATGATGCAAAGATAATTAGATGCTAAAGGAACATTTTAATGTTAGGAATACAAAGCTGTACTCCTAACACTGAAGTGATACTCTGCCTCCCCCTCCCCCCCACCACCACCACCTTCCTCCCACCACCCATCCACAGGCACTCAAAGGGTTTAATAATTCTTAAATACACTCACCTTATTCTAGAGCCTCGGCACTGGCTTCCAGTCCATCTCCTCCGATGTGCCAATGGCAAACTTAAAGCGCATGACTGGCAAGCATTAGGTCTTCCTATTGGAAAACATTGAATCAATACTTCCCAATGGAGGATTTTAATATGCTGGATGTCCTAATGCACAGTATGAGGGCATCCAGCATCGTTTCATGGAGTCAAACTTCGTGAAACAGCAGGAAACTGTCTGGAAGACAGCCATTAGAGGAAGTCTTAATCCTGCAATATAAACTATGCAGTTTCTCTAAAACTGCAATGTTTTATATTGCAGGGTTAAGGGGACAGGGACACTGCATCTAGACCACTTCAATGAGATGATCTGGATGCCTATAGTGTCTCTTTAATAAATATGTGTCTACTTAGATTAATAAATCATGTGTTTATTATACAACCTAGCTTGCATAGTAGGAAAAGAGACAGCCACCATTCTATCAGGGAAGGACTGAGATGTTGTCCCCCAAAACTAGTGAATAAGATATATCAAGGGCATTAATGAACAGCTTAAAACATAATTAATATTTGTTTGTCTCTGGCAGTGTAATGTATTACTACTAAGCCAGCAGATAAGCTCCTTTTATTATAAAGCATAGATTAAAAATGTGCGTTTTACGCACACGTAAGAACTCTTTACTTATACTAAAGAACTCTTGAGAGCACTGTTTCCCAAGATACAGTACAGTATTTTCCTGTCATCCACAAAGAATTTAAACTTCAAAATGCCTTGATGCACTCTTACAGAAAGAGGGTGTCTTATTATGGTTTTTTGTTAAACCACAAAGATAACCTAACACATTATGCACCTAAAGCCTGCCTCAGGGTGCTCAGTTTGAACTCCACAATCAGAGAAATTTATTTTACCATCTACAAACTATGCAGCTATTTTGTTTTTGAGAAAATGTTACTACCACTTGAAAAATGTATCCCTCTTATTAGTAGCACTCTCCATATATATATCCAGTTGGAATCTTGCATTCCAGTATATTGAGCTACTTGAGCTAGTTGGTGGCAATGGTCAAATTTCAGAAAGCAATTCAACTAACTTGTAATCCAGTGCCAAGACAGGCTGCTCTCTGCACCCTGATCCTCCCACAAAGTCCAATTCGGTCTTTCTCATAGAAGAGACTTGCAAACTTCTCCACCAATCCAATGCTTCTCCTAGAGAACTACTGATTCCAATGCTTCTCATAAACAATCACTAAATTAATTGTTTCTCTATGTGAAGCATTAGCCACATTCGACATCATGCTGTTTGTAACGATGCTAAACACAACGACCTTTAAAATTGAAGATCTTGAAAAAGGAACGGCAATAAAGTGATATGTCACCCTGTTACTTTCCGTCTGACAGCCACGAGAGATGGGTTTTGGCCAAATGACAGCATTACCTTTTCTCAAAAATTACATTCTTTTACACGGAGAAAAGAGAAAATGTTTTTTTTTTTTTTGTGCTTGGAGTGTCCCAATGAGTCTACATGCAAAAGAAAGATACATTTCTATTTGTGACTGATTGTCAATGAAGAAAAATTTAAATTTTTAAATTCACCAATTCCTTATAAGAATATTGAAAATATTTACTTGCATTTATTTGTCGTCTACTATCTGTGTTAGTTTTCGCTTTCTATGTTATAGTGAAAACAGACAAGGGATAGAGGGATATTGCCTGTTTGGGCACTAGAACAAGTGGTCAGAAAAGGTTTTGGTTGCCTTTCTTAACATAAGAATATTTAGATGGGATACAGGAAGAGGCTTTGTAGCATGACTGCTTGTGATTGCCATATACTCATAGAATGCCCATCACTGGATTATTCTACAGTACCTAATGTAATGCAGTCGTATAACAAGGGCACTGCAGCACAAAAGGGCAGTTCTGCTCACAGCTAGACATTTCCTCAAGCTATTTGTTATGAGACGGACAATCTAGATAGACAGAAACCACTGCTAACAGATTACTTTACAAATGCTAAATGGCAACCGCTAAATGAGGTCCTTGCTCTGGTGACATTGTTGAGGTTAAAGCATTTCTCGGAAAGTTGTAAACAATATCGTCCGTCCTGCTTCTCTGCCGCTCACTGGTATAACATTGCCTTCCAGAGAGACTGACTTTTTAACCTGCAATCACGGAATGATCAATATATTTTCAATGCCAAGCAAATCAATGTTTGTAGAGGACATGGGCCAACTCATTAGCATCTTAAACCAGCATTTAATGTTCAAGATGCTTGAAACAAGGAAAAGTGAAAATTGTCCAATGCTTTCTATGCTGCTGAAAACAGCTTGGGCTAGATGGCAGAACTGAGAGCCTCTGAGGATTGATCTCAGCTCCTTGGAATGTTACAAAACTATGTAAACTTATTTAGAAGAAACACTGTGGATTTCAAGCATCATGAGCTATAGTTGAAGGCACAAAGGTATGGAAGGAGGGTATATTTGCTTATTATGCCAATTTGTCTAGGATTATTGTCCATATGGCAATCCTAGTATTCTGTGCAGAGTATTATTATAATTATGGACATTAAGATACCCTACAATATGTACAAAGAAAAATAAGATTGCTGTTTAGGAAGACTAACCACATAGCAATAGTGGGTGGCTATATTTCAGGTTTTCACATCATCATTGTTAAGTGTAGCACTGTCATTTTAAGTGTAGGCATCATGTTTTAAATTAGACATGTTTTTTTTTTTTAAGTGTCAGGGCTAATAATTATGCTGTCACAGTCTATGCATTTATTAGAGGCGAGCTATAGCCATTAACTAAAGCTACCATCAGGTTAAGATTTGGCTTGGTCTTACAAAAAAATATGAATATTACAGTTCACTAAAATGGAACATTCCCTAAACCTACACACCATTTATTCTGAAATAACCTCTATCTATTACCAAAAGGAATGATAAAGGGAGGATATATGTCTTGACATCACATCTGTAATGAGAGCCTGAGTGACATCACAGAAAGGGGCGGTGCCGGAGATGGCTGGGGCAACTAACTGTCATTTTTCAAATGTGAAGATGATGTCTGAAGATGGTGTCTTGCCTGAAAGTTAAGCTCTGCAATAAAGACATGTAGAAATGAGCTCACTGTTTTATATGCATTTCAAGACTGGACATGGTCAATTGACCATGTACACAGGTGCGCTGTGAGGTTGGGATGGTCAAAGTGGTGCAAGAGCATCAGCAGCTGTCCGCACGATGCCTTCGCAGACATTATATATGTTAGTGTCCACTTGGCCAGCTCTCTGATTGTCAGCATTTGTCCATGATGACAAATTTGGAGGGAAATTCTCACATATAAGCCGTTCTGAAGTAATGGCTTGGCACCAAAAAAATAAAACAATTTGAGCTGCCCCTCCTTCCTATTTTATTAATTTATTTATGATGTTTGCTTTTATTGGGGTTTAGGTAACCTGCCTATTCAAAGGGGGATGTGCACTAACTGGTATTTGTAATAAACTTTGAACTCTGGTAAGTCAAGAGTTAAATCTTTGGAAGGTTTAACCCCTTAAGGACCAAACTTCTGGAATAAAAGGGAATCATGACATGTCACACATGTCATGTGTCCTTAAGGGGTGAAGGGGTTAAAGAACGGAGATGTTTGGTTACAAGATATGTCATTTTTAAAGTAAATAAAGTTACTGTTGCAATATGTAAACTAGATAAAAGACCACAGACTTGCCATGCTCATATGTATAAGGTTTTATTCAGTATTGTGTTAGATTCTAATCCCTGCAGTGCACATGACATGGCGTCAGAGGTACTAACCTGTGCATCTGTTTGTTAATCCATGAAGATGTCTAAATTGACTCTACCTGAGGCATTTGGTTTTTCTCAGCCTACGTCATGGCCTATCTTTCTCAGCCTGTGCCAGCAGTTTGCACGTTTCAGGACTGTATCCAAGCTGGATAAGGAGAGTGGTGAAGTACAAGTTAAATTCTCTTTTATTTTTATTGTGGAACCAGTCTACAATACAATTACATTACATGAGGGAGAAAGAATTTGCCTTTGAGATAATTATGAATAAGCTCAGTACCCACTTTGTGCCCAGGAGGAATCTAACTCATGAGAGGGACTGATTTTACAAGCATGCCCAGCATGGTGAGAAAATCAGTGGAATCATTTGTGCACAGCCTTTATGAATTGGCTGAGTTCTTTGAGTTTGGTGCTGCCAAAGAGGAGCAGATCAGAGACAGAATTGTCATAGCAATTGCAGACTCAGAAGTCTCAATGAAACTGCAGCTGGAGTCTGAGTCAACACTTGATGAGGTTATACGAATGTCTTGCCAGAATGAACTGGTGAAGAAACAAAGTGCAGAGATGAGATTGAAAGCATGTTACAAGAAGTGCAGCAGTCCAGGAGAGCTGCAAGTGACAGGGTGTAGGTTAAAACCTACTGCAGGTTAAGAGGTGTTTAGGTACAACAGGCTCGTTGCACGTGATGTAACCTCATTCACGGAACAAACCTGTTACGCCCTGTAAAAAACAAGAGGTGCTAATGCCATGTTTGCGGATAACCGCGATAATATTTTCAGCCAGTTAGGCAATGTTTAAACGTCCCTAAGAAAAAAAACAAAAAAACAAGAGGTGCAAGAAGTACAACTGAATTGGCCATTTTGAGGTTGTTGGCAAATCAGAGTCCATTAAGGAAATGCATCTGGACAGTGACCAAGAGACACAAGAGGTGCCCTTTGTAGATTCTGTGATTTAACAGTTCAGGTCTGATGAAGATTGGCAAGTTACTCTCAAAGTGATGGATGTAAGGATTGTTATTAAGATTGACACTGAAGCAGACATTACCGTTATATCTCTTGCGACATTCATTAAACTGGCACGATGACCACAGCTCGGGGATGTTGCAATAACAGTTCACAGCCCTAGAGGTCGCATTGATTTATCAGGTGATTTCTTGCAAACAGTGAATACAAAAAAAAAAACACTCTGTTGGCATGAGTAATCAGAAGACAATGTGTTATTAACCTTTTGAGCAGAACACAGCCAGCAGTGGTAGAGGTTAATACAGTGAGGGAGTTTAAGCATGCGTGGGATAGGAATAAGACTATCCTCGACTTAAGATAAGGCCAGGGACTAATGAAAGTATTTAGAAATTTGGTCAAACAGTTCTTATCTGCTGTTACATTCTATGTGCGTAGTTCCTAGCAGTTGTGGCCTAGGAGCAGCCCTGTTTCAACTTAATTAAGGCAAACTACAGCCCATTGCCTACTGCTTTCATACACTGACAGTGGCAGAAGCAAGATAGGACCATGTTGAAAAGGAGTGTCTGGCTGGAGTGATACACATCTGGATACTAATCTCCAGAAAGTTTTTAGCTAAATAAAGAGTGGCTGGCCAGAGAGCCAAGCAGTGTGGAGAGCACATTTCACAGAACACAATGGTTGAGTGTTGTTTCAAGACCATATCAATATCTGCCAGTATGCGGGCAAGAAATGTTAAGTCAAATTCATGATGGCCATTTGGGGATCTCTAAGTGTAGAGAAAGAGCAGTCATGGCAGTGTGGTAGACTGAAATCAGCACTGACATTGTAGAATACATATCAAGATATGCCTTTTGCCATAAATGTTGGCCTACACAGAGGAAAGAGCCTCTAATATCTACCTTGCTGCTTGTGGGCCCCTGGCAGAAGATAGCTCCAGATTTGTGCGAACGCAACAGAATGAAATATCTGGTTGTTGTAGAATGTTACTCCAGGTATTTCGAAAATTACACCTTTAGGTGAGGCAACCAGCATGGCTGTCATCACCTGTTTTAAAAGCATATTTGCCAGGTAGGGTATACCTTTGGAGTTGGTGAATGACAATGGGATTCAGTTAACTTCCATGGAGTTCAGATCTTTCAGTAGAGAGTATTATTTCCTTCACTCTACGTCCAGTCCCCATTACTTGCAAGCCAATTGGATGGCTGAGAGAGTGGTTCAAACCACAAAGTTTGTTTTGAAGC